TTTTTAGGGTCAATATAAGTAAATTAAAATATGATAGACTTTTCATTGGGGTAGCTTTTTATATTTTTTCCCATTTTGTTATTTTCCTCAATAGGCGAATTTTTGTTAACTCCAAAAGCAACACAGAAAGTCAAAAGCACATTAAAAGTCATACTCTATTTGGGTCACACTGCTCTTTTCTATAAATGAATCAAACCTGTGTCTAATTAAATGAGTTGATGAAGTGGGAGTGGCCCAATTTTATGGTGGAGCAGTTCTTTCAGGTATCATGGCACTTGTGATTTTTTTATTGCTATACATCCCTACAATAAGTTTTTATATGATAGACCTTGGTAACTGGTAGCTTTATTGTAGTTATCACTCATTGAAGTAATAGAGTGCAGCTGCTCAAAAATGAAAAATCGCCTTCCTTCAAAATGAGCTTTCTTTCATTTTAACCTCTCATTTAGGTGTGTTTGAACTATTGGCTAGCCATAGAGACAAGTAATTTATCTAATACAGGTGTGTATATATAAGCTTCAATTAGCCAATTGTCAGGTCTAAATCAAGGTCTAAATTAAGGATATTTTTTTACTTAGAAGTAGAAGTAAAGTAAATGCTGACTAATAGCATTATAATAACACAACTTTAATATGACACTGACATATTTTAAATGCAGGCACTCATACAATCATCCTGGCTGGTGCAGGGCAAGATTACATTAGCAACAAAGTAAGATCTACTGATGTATACACTCTATACAATCATCTGAGAAAAACTCCATTCCTCCACCAAGAACTTGATGAGACTGGCTTTGTTGGCAGGGCTGCAGAGAAGTTTCCTTGCTATCCTTGCTATTCCTTGCTATCAGTTGCTATCCTGCAAGTGTGTGAGGACATGCAAACCACCAGACTGCACCTGTCTCAGCAATGGGCTGAAGTGGACAAACCTGTGCAAATTGCAAATTACAAACTTGTGCCAACCAATACAGTGAGGAAGAGCCCCTTGCACACCGGCAGATTCAGATGTAGAAGAAGATACAGATGCTGATACTGTCGATTACTGATGTTGATTAATAAATGATGACCAAAGGGAGCTATGTTAACAGACCCACTGTGACTCAGTGACAGTATTATGTACTAAGCCAAAACTTGACAGTCATATTTGCTGTCACTGTTCCTTATGGAAAGAATAGGACTTTGAATAGGAATTTGAGTTTTTCTCAGATGATTGTATAGAGTGTATACATCAGTAGATCTTATTTTGTTGCTAATGTCTTCTTGCCCTGCACCAGCCAGGATGATTGTATATTGAGTGCCTGCATTTAAAATATGTCAGTGTCATATTAAAGTTGTGTTATTATAATGCTATTAGTCTGCATTTACTTTACTTCTACTTCTAAGTAAAAAAATATCCTTAATTTAGACCTTGATTTAGACCTGACAATTGGCTAATTGAAGCTTATATATACACACTTGTATTAGATAAATTACTTGAAATACTACTTAGGGGGTTATTACAAGTCTCCTTGGCTAGCCAATAGTTCAAACACACCTAAATGAGAGGTTAAAATGAAAGAAAGCTCATTTTGAAGGAAGGCGATTTTTCATTTTTGAACAGCTGCACTCTATTACTTCAATGAGTGATAACTACAATAAAGCTACCAGTTACCAAGGTCTATCATATAAAAACTTATTGTAGGGATGTATAGCAACAAAAAAAACACAACTAGAATTTGCCCACCCAGGTGGTACCGATATGTGAAATTTTGGTTCTTGGCTCAAGGACTAAAGCAAAGAGAGAACTATTTTTTCAGTAGATGTACTGCCTCTCGAGCATGTCCCGTTACTTCTCCACTGGATACTTCTAGATACTCTATAAATGTAATTTTTTTTTTTTTTTTTAAACATACAAAAGACTATTTTGGCAGCCAGACCAAACCTGTTAGGAACCCCTGAACCAGTCCTGTTATCAAATAATTCACAAACAGCAGTTGGGACGCTTTGCCAGTGCCTTCCCCAGCTCAGGGACATTTGACAGAGTAGACAGCTTTTTTCTCCTTTTTTACAAGGTGGGTGGGTCTTGGGCATGCTGATTTTAGATGCTTATCCCTGCAGTAACTTGGCCTTGCCAAGTTGTAGGCTTAGAAGAAGCCTGGTGGTTGGCCTGTAGCCACAGTTTTAGGGCACAGATTGGAGGTGTGAGCAGCGTTTAATATAGGATAAGCTCTTGCATGCACTGTACCTGTAGGCTATGAACAAGAGGAGCATACCCAAGTTAAGCAAGGTGCTGACTCTGATGCCAGAGTATCATCATCTGCTGCATCTCTCTCTTGAACATAAAATCTATTTATTTATTTATCATTTTGCCCAATTTCTGCATTAAGATTGAAGCAGCTATCTCTTTAAAAGTTCTGCAAAAGGCGGGAGGTGGCCCCAGCGCCTAGGTAACCAGTGTCCAATCAAAAGTGTGCATTGAGCTCCCATTTCTGGAGTTTATATGCAGAAGCAAATTTGACTCGCTGTCAAGCAGCATGGTTCTATTGGATTTCTATGGTTACAATGCAGAGTGCAGACTGACGTGCGGCAACACACTTAGCAAATGTAGCCTATATACACTGCAGGGGTGAGGGTTTGTGTACCACTGCATACCAGCTTACTGGCTTACTTTCACCTCTGGGTGTGAGAGAAAGACCCGCAGTTTGAGCAGGAAAAAGCTTGATGCCCAGTGAAATGTCTACTCATTAGAGCCAGGTTGACTACAGACTTACCAAGTCTTTGAATCTTTGAATGTACACAGCAGCTTCACTAAAAAAATGACTTGTGATATTACTAGAATAATATTCTTTCATAAGTCATGGCTGAATCAGAAATGATGGCGACATACAGTATGTGTCCAGTTCAGTTCTGTGTGCTGAAAACTTCACATATGACATCTCCAAAAACGCCAAATGCTACATGAATTAAGCTAAGGTCGGAGATTTAAACAGCCGTGGATCACTATCTTTAAGCATCACAGACACATCTCCGCAATCCACAATGCATTCTGCGGGCAGCAGCAGTGACGCGGCGGCTGAAGCTTTTTTGGAGACAGAGGAGGAAGAGAGAACTGCCAGTGGAGGCTCTATGTAGATATTTTTTTATAAACAAGGTGAAAAGTCATTAATGTATAAGAATAAAGTTGCAAAGTTACCTGTTATTTCAAAGAAGAGTTGTTAAAATTAGGGCCATGGAGACTTTGAAGGAACAGTGCTTCAGTATAGGTTTCACAAACAAGGAGATAATTAATCCTTTGGCACATCAGCATTACATTGCCATAAGTATAAGGACTTTAAAAAGATTATATGAGAAATGCATCTTTTCCACAGAAAAAAACAAACAAAAAAAAAACAGGTAGACTTGGAGGAAATCACTGCTTTTGTGGAGGCAGATATGGATATGCAGAGGATATGTCCGTCAATGCAGCCATAAATAGCCATGAAAGGCATTGGGCTTTAGTTTATGGTATGAATCCAAATGCGATAAGGCATTGGTGTCTCTGCAGGTGTAGGTTGCCACTGGTGTCAGAGACGTGGTGCTCGTTAGAGTTCAACTCCCTCAGGATCGCAAATGTTGATTATCAGTTGGATTGTTTCTTGAGCAACCACAAAAGCTCTCTGAATGACCCGCTGATACATCCACCAATAACCCTGCAGTTGATCAGTTCCAGCCATTTCCCCCCTCCACAAAAGCAGCTTTATGACTTTACTTTCTTAATGACTTTATTCTCGTAAGTTTACAACTTTTATCTCTAAGTCTTAAAAAAATACATTCTCGGTGTGGCCCCAAAACTCCATTGTAGTTTTGTCAGCTTTCTTATTTCTAATGTTTTTGATTCTGGTAGCAGAGCACAGTTTTTTTTTTTTTCTAAAAAATATAATGTTTGGTTTGCAGGTACAGATTTTAGTGAGCTAAGAGAGCATACGCTCATGGAGCCTGAGCTGACTGTTAAGTGTTTTTTGATTGCCTTTATTTTCTTTAAAGGGGCCATGGCATGAAAAACTGACTTTGTTAACGGGAGGGGGGTGCATATCAGGGAAAGAAAACCAATACAATCCCCCCAAGTTCGAAAAAATTCCATCCAGTTGTTTTTTAATTATCTCCGTATTTAGGAACTGTGTGCTCAGAACCGGCCGTTCTGAAAACTCCACTGACATGACGTCATGTCAGTGCTAGCGGGTTGGTGGCACTGCCCATGAAGCCGTCCACTGCCCTGCCCAAAAAATGATCAAATCAGCGCCATTATTCCCGGCCGCTGGCTCGCATAACTCCGGTTAGAACCATGGCAAAAGTATGATCTGAAAAAGAGGCAGCGTTTGCTCTGTTTTTGGCTGCACAAACAAGCACAAAACTCTTTTGAAAACTCCCTCGTCGGAGGATTTGAGAACTCAATGGGTGGATTTTATTTATAATGGGAATGTACCCGCGGCACTTTAAAATATCTGTACGTATGTGTGCACCATTTCACTCCGGACTATTTTATCAACGAGGGATAGTTCAACGCTGGATTTGCTAGATGTCTGAAGATAAAGAATGGATCCGTACCAACTATCTGTGATCCTACTACAAACATGGCATCTGTTAGTATGAGCGTTTTATTTGGCCTTACTGTTTAGCCTAAATTCCCCCCAGGGCCTCAGCACGGCCATCACGCTTTAATAAACACTCCGGATCCGTGCCAGTTTACCGGATCCTCCCGTATTTTAGCCGCTTGCTTCTTCCCCGATAACTCCACCGGCGGGGGACAAAATCCCCCTCCGGAGCAGCATGTAGCTTTAGCATTTACCCGTGCGGCGACGCGCCTCTTTTGGCTCAAATACGGGACGTACCGGCTAATGCTGGACGGTCGGTCCTTTTAATTAGCAAAGGCTTCAGAGAAGCTTCAGAGTACTTCTTCCCGTGTCTGTGTAGCGTATGTCTTGACCCAGGTGCAACTCAATTTGTAGTAAGATGTTTTTTCTAACCCCGTGTGCCTCCTTACAGACCAGCTCATCACAAACTAGTACAACCGTACAGACTCCTTCCTCAAGAGATGTTGCATGCCAGACTGACATGGAAACACGTTCTGCAGGTATACTGCTGTCCTTGAAGACTCTAGCACCATTTCACAAAAGTGCAGGTATGCAGCCATGCTCATTATGCTACATTTACTTTGGAAGACATCAGTAATAACTTAAATGTTATAAAACTTTTCACGCAGCTCAGCACTCTCTTTATTTTTCATAGAGGTATTTTTCGTTTATTTAACATATATTTTGGTTACAGGTGTCCAGACAACTTTGTCCTGCAGAGATTTTGATGTTGCGACATCCACCGCAGCTCCTTTCCAGTTCTCATCCACACCAGTAAAGCGACCTTCCAAGAGACCGCGCATGGACATGGAGGATGAGCTGCAACTGGAAAATCCTTTAGAAGGCAGCTCTTCAGTAGCAGCTTCGATGGGGCTTGACTCAACCTATAATCCCGCAAGCTCTGTCACAGCTTCAACAGAGTCAACAAATTATGCCGTAAGAAACTGTAATATGAGTGTGTTTTTTTTAGGCATGTGATAATTTACAAAATGAAAAGAAGTGGTTTCCGGCATTACTTTTATGTGTGAGATTTACTGAACATTCATAAAGCATGAGAGAAAGCTAAGTACACTGCTGAGATGTATTACAACATATTTTCCCTTTTTCTTATAGAGATGATGCATCCACTCCCGCCCACCAAATAAAAAAATACATAGTGTATGAGAGCAAACTTATGGAGTTGTTTGCTGTGTGTCCTGTTTGCACACGGGCGTGTAATGTAAAGGCCGAGGATTTGGGGACATTTCTGTGTGTTCAACAGTGATGCACACATTGCGAGTACTTCAAAAAGTGGAATAGTCAGCCTGTCCTTGGGAGCACTCCAGCCGGGAACCTCCGGGAACCTATTTGCAGCTGTATATTTGAGTGGAGCGTCTTTCTTCAAAATTGAACGGGTAAATGATTAAAAGTTAAATTTTCTTTGACTTATCACTATGACTATGATGTTATATTGGATCAAGTAATTGACAATTTTTTGTAAACCTTTCTCCCCCCTAAAACTAGGTCTGCAAGGGCTTTTATTGAGCCTACTGTTATTCACCACTGGCAAACTTTTCAAAATGGTGTACTGCAGCAACTCAGCCAGAAGGAAAAGGTCATACTTGGAGGCAACATGAAGGCTGACTCTCCAGGTTGTTATATTGCACTGAATTACAAAATTTGATGTTAGTGGTTGATGGTTTATGTGGTGCAAAGGAGAGTGGAAGAAAATATGGAAATGAGAATAATAATATGAAGTTTTATTACTCTCTTTCAGCAAAGTTTGGGAGCTTCACAACCATGGACCTAGATATGAACACGGTTGTGGACATACAGTTGGTTCAGGTGAGGTTCTACAAATGATTCGAGAAATATTAGTGTACATGAAGTTTATTATACATTATCTAATACTAATAATTCTTGGGGTTTCCTTACGGGGGTACAGAGCAATGAGGTTGGTGGTAGCTACCACATGGAAAAAAAGGGCCTGAAGAGGAGTCTGGCATTGCTGGATGCTCGTGGTGTGACTCTTGACTGTATTGTCACTGACCGTCATCCACAAGTGTAGAAGTTCCTTCAGGAAAAAAATGTCACACAGTATTATGATGTGTAGCACATGGCAAAAGGTATGTATACTGATTTTCATCTTCATCCACATCCCGACCCCTCCACACAGTAGCAGTATTGAAAAGGTTTTCCATTTGCAGGGACAGTGTAGAGCAAAACCCCTAAAGACACAGCCGACATACCGTAAGAGTTTACTTTTTTTATTTTTTTAGCAAAAGTAAACACATATTGTTAATTGTTGCTGTTTATACTGCTTGGAAGTAGCCCATGACAGTGAAAAGACGTTGCATGGACTAGAGGGATGAAAACGGAGGAAAGGAGAGGAGCTTAGAACTGAACAGTTGACGGACCTCGCGAATCTGCCCTCAATAACCTCCGGTTTCTCGGTGACTCACCGGCTACGTGTTGCCATGGCAACGTGATGTAAACAACTCACACTAGAGCGCAAAAACACTTCAGTAGGACGCATTCAAGCGGCACAACACACATTCAAGCAACATTACACTCCCCGCTTGGGTTCTCTAAAGAACCCACATCAACAAACAGTCTCAGTCTTTGGAGAGAAAAGCAGGACAACTTCTGTAGCAGGTCGAAGAAACGTCTTCCTGCTTCCGTCCTTGACAACGTCCACTTCTATTTTTCGAACCAGACCATCTTCGCCTGGAAAGGTCTTTGAGATGACAGCCATTGGCCATTGGTTCTTGCTTGATTGTCTTTCAGAAGAACTATGTCTCCGTCCTGGAGGCTCGGCTGTTTCTCCTGCCACTTGTGTTGAAGCTGCAGCGTTTTGAGATATTCATGCCTCCACCTGTTCCAAAACGTGTCTGCGAGGCTTTGAACCCGCTTCCACTCCTCTCTGATGAGATCCACTTCTTTAAATCCATCTGATGGAGGAGGGGGCAAAGAGCCTGTCTTAAGGGTCAAAAGCGTTGCTGGGGTGAGGATGAGAGGGGATTCCGGATCCGATGACACAGGGATGAGGGGTCTAGCGTTCATAATAGCTGCTACTTCTGCCATAAGCGTCGTCAGAACTTATGGCAAACTTATCCAAAATACGGCGGGCGATGCCAATCATCCGTTCCCATGCGCCCCCCATATGGGACGCGTGCGGCGGGTTAAACACCCATGTGCAGCTGTGTGTGTTCAGGTTTTTTTCCACACTGTTGAAACCTGGATTGGTCTTGTCCATCTCCAGTTCACGGGAGGCACCGATGAAGTTAGTGTCGCAGTCAGAGCAGATTTGTGTCGCTGGCCCTCTGATGGCCAAGAACCTCCTCAAGGCGTTGATGAAGCTGCTGGAACTCATTGCCTCAATTATCTCGATGTGAACTGCTCTTGAACACATGCACGAGAACATCACGGCTCATCGTTTGGAGTTGGAGGCTCCTCCTCTTGTGCAGCGTGTGACGATGTCCCATGGTCCAAAAACGTCGACACCTACATAAGTGAAAGGAGGTGCTACTTGTAGTCGTTCTGCTGGCAAGGCTGCCATCTGCTGATGTTTCGTCTTTCCCCTCAGCTTTCTGCAGATGATACATCTGTGAAGCAGACTGCTGATGCAGCGTTTGGCTCCTACCAGCCAGAACCCTGCTGCTCGAATGGCACCTTCAGTCAGATGTCTTCCTTGGTGTTTCACCGTTTCGTGGTAGTGAGACACAAGCAGGTATGCAAGATGATGCCGACCGGGAATAATGACGGGGTTAGTCTCATTCATGGTGAGGCCTGACTGGCCAATTCGGCCCCCGACTCTGAGAAGTTGATCTTGGTCCATGGTGGGATGCAACTTCCACAGGCTGCTGGAGGATGGAATGTTAGACCCTGAGTTGATGCGCTTAAGGTTTTCTGCATAGCACTCGTTCTGAACACTCTTCACAATGCACACTTTAGCTTTCAATAGCTCTTCTCCTGTAGGAAGACAGATGTGCCACCCCTGACATCCATTCTGAGCAGAGTGAGCGAAGGAACGAGCTATGTGGATGAGGTGGGCTATGGCTGTGAGGAGAGAGCTAAACTTGGAGAAACGTTCAAAACGCTGTGGATGTACCACATCTCTGGTAACATGCGTGAAACTTGTCACGACCTGAGAACGTACCTCAGAGTCGGTGTCAGGGTCGATAAGGTCGTAGGTCTCCTGAAACTCAGATGACTGCAGAGACACATCATGGAGAAAGGCTGGTCCTGTGAGCCACGTTGTGCTACTAAGCAGGGCTGGTGTCACAGTTCTTGACCTGATGTCAGCTGGGTTGAGGTGCGTTGGGACGTATTTCCACTGACCAGAACAAGGTGATTGATGGATTCGCTGGATTCTGTTGTGTACGTAAACATAGAATCTCCTAGACCGATTGTGAATGTACCCCAACACAACCTTACTATCTGTATAGTGGGTGATGCTGTCGAATGTTGTATCCATCTCTGCGACTATCATCTCAGCCATCTCAACGGCAAGTACTGCTGCGCAAAGCTCGAGTCTCAGGATAGTCAAGCCAGGCCGAGGGGCGCCGTATTTTGGACTGCATGCTGCTTGAGCAAAGGAAGTCTCACCTGACGCATGAAGTTCTGACGACGCTTATGGCAGAAGTAGCAGCTATTATGAACGCTAGACCCCTCATCCCTGTGTCATCGGATCCGGAATCCCCTCTCATCCTCACCCCAGCAACGCTTTTGACTCTTAAGACAGGCTCTTTGCCCCCTCCTCCATCAGATGGATTTAAAGAAGTGGATCTCATCAGAGAGGAGTGGAAGCGGGTTCAAAGCCTCGCAGACACGTTTTGGAACAGGTGGAGGCATGAATATCTCAAAACGCTGCAGCTTCAACACAAGTGGCAGGAGAAACAGCTGAGCCTCCAGGACGGAGACATAGTTCTTCTGAAAGACAATCAAGCAAAGAGGAACCAACGGCCAATGGCTGTCATCTCAAAGACCTTTCCAGGCGAAGATGGTCTGGTTCGAAAAATAGAAGTGGACGTTGTCAAGGACGGAAGCAGGAAGACGTTTCTTCGACCTGCTACAGAAGTTGTCCTGCTTTTCTCTCCAAAGACTGAGACTGTTTGTTGATGTGGGTTCTTTAGAGAACCCAAGCGGGGAGTGTAATGTTGCTTGAATGTGTGTTGTGCTGCTTGAACGCGTCCTACTGAAGTGTTTTTGCGCTCTAGTGTGAGTTGTTTACATTGCGTTGCCATGGCAACACATAGCCGGCGAGTCACCGAGAAACCGGAAGTTATTGAGGGCAGATTCGCGAGGTCCGTCAACTGTTCAGTTCTAAGCTCCTCTCCTTTCCTCCGTTTTCATCCCTCTAGTCCATGCAACGTCTGTAAGTGTTCATACGTTGTTGTATTGTTGTATTAAGATGAAGGTTGTTTAAGTGTTATTAAGTTGTTAAAACGGCTATGGCGCTAATCGCTAATGCTACACAAAGTTAGTTTCATGTTTTTCGTTGCTAGCGGCATTCTAGCTCGTTTGTGATCATAACGGCTAAAGCTAATGTAGCTTAGCTCTACTGTTTGTGTGTAAGCCGTAACTCATTGTTTTATATGTTACTGTATCATTTCAGTTTCACAAGCTTCCTCAGTAAACTTGAAGAGGTGAATCAACTGTGTCTGAGAGTTTATTGGGGAGTGTTTATACTGCTTGGAAGTAGCCCATGACAGTTGCACTTACAAACTATAAAGATTTCAACAATTAATAACTTAATAAATTATTATAAATAAAAAAGAAGTAATAATAATTAACAAAAAGTGTCTGGAAGTATTGAGCAGAACTCTTTCAGTCTGGGAAAAAAATATAAACTATGTGTTTGCGCATTTCTTGTATAAAATAGGGTATGTAGTAGACATGATGGACCTCATCTTTGAGAAGGTTTTTGTGGACCCAGCACCCTACACTGATGCAGTCCTGGCGATCCACGTTCCTGAAGACCTTGCTGCACACTTCGAGCAGCCAAACAAGGAGGAGGTCATTGCTGGTTATGTGTCCCGCTTCGATCGAGCAGCCGTTTGAAGCCCGTTGTGTCAGGAAACTCAGTGCCGATTCGAATGACCACACAAGCTGGGATGATGGCCTGGAAAGTGCGTCCCAGCCAGCCCCAACACCAGCTCACAATAGAGCAATATGCAAGGTACCTGTAACAACTCCAAGCAATTGGACAAGAAAGAGCTGTTTTTTTTTTTTTGTTTGTTTCCCATTTGAGTTTTTTTATAGGTTGCCTGCTACAACATAGGGCTACTAAGAGCACTTTCCCTCCTCTAGTCTTCTCTCCTCCCCTCTCCTCTGCTACCACTAAACTATAATTAAAATTGACAGTATTATCTGTTACATCTTGTAGTGTGGCCTTGGTGTCTCACTCTTTCTCTCTGTGTTTCTACACATTCGCCGAAGCTCCATCCCTGAGTCTACACCAATCGCCACCTGCGAGTTACCTGTCAACCTTCTCTAACACCGGCCTGGCATCCACTTCCATTGGGCTGACATGTTTCCCCTGCCCCTACTACCACGAGAAGCTTTGTTGTGTCCTATTGAAAATTTCATTTGTGTACTTGTAGTTATAAATTTTTCTATTGCACGTCAAGGATATTGTTATGCTACTGTTTTGATTATCAGTTAGAAATCATTTTATTATTAATTCAATGTCAATAAATGTTTACACTGTCTATATAAATGACTCATGTTTATGAAGAACCTATAAAGATATATATAGAAAAAAAATTATCCTTTTTGTATCTCATAATGTAAGTATGAAATGAACCGTAATCAAGACAAACTAGCTTTCACTTTGAGTATGT